CATTATCTACAACTTGCTAGAAGGAAGGTTTGTTAAATTCGGACTGGAGAAATGGTGAAAAACAGGACTAGAGAAACGGTGAAAAACCCCGTGTTACGGGAGGAATTGTCCCAGTTGGACCAGAATTCACATTTTTCTCCTTTTTTTATAAATAAGGCCTCCATACGCCTTTTTAAGCGGGATGAACATTACGGAGAGGCCTAAGCACGAGTTTAGAGTAGTTTTTCCGCTATTTTGCTCACGACCCTGGGATTATTTGTAAGTTCCTTCTTTTTAATTAATGACAATTATTTTTATCTTCCCAATTCTATTGATTTTTCAATTATGAGTCGGGAGTAGTTTTAATTAGGGATTTGGGATTGATGAAGGGGTTAATCACAATGTATGACTAGTTTCTTGATGGATTGATTGCATGAATGTCGTTTAATTTGTGTTTGAACAATTTAATTGCTATCTTTTGTAACCTGGAACCGTGGCTAGAATTAGAATTGCTTGTAGAATAAATTAACAGAGATCTAGTTTATTCTGAGACACATTCACACACACTTAATCATTCGCTAAGAGATTAGTAGCGATTAAGGGGCCATAAGCTCGCTCGTTTTGGCAATAATTTAGGACCATGTCGCATGAGAGATCAGCCTGGTCCCCTAAATTATTGTACTCTACGCCGCGAGAGCGGTATGAACTTAGTATTGATTAGCTAGACTCAATTAAATTAATTTCTTGTAATTAAGCCTGATCTGCCAGAAATTTGATTACCCCGGAATCAATTCATGTTCCCTTCGTCGTTAATTAAGAAGAACCCGATCAGTTATTTTTATTCGCTTAGTCGCATTAGTTTATTTTTCAAACCATCCATTCTCGCACAATTGTTTTAGTTAATCTTTAATTCCCTTTTGTCCGTCCCTGTGGAGACGATACTCTTACTTTCAATCACTTTTCTACAACCTTTTTAAGTGCGAGAAAACTCACATCAGGAATATGACTTGGTTTGTATTTTAGCATCTTCAATGATGCTTGGTAGTAGTTTTTTGCTGAATTCAATAGCCGCTTTTTTTTTGCAAAAATTGGTTGCTAGTTTTTTTTGCGGGAATATTGCTGGAATTTTTGCTACATCTTTTATCCGGCGGTAGGAAATGTAGTAGAACAAGAATGTGAAAGTGTTACTAAATATTATATGTTAAATGATGTGTTTTGGGTATTCATTCATTTTTGAATGTTATAATATGTATGAATGAAGTAAACATTAAATTAGAATTATACTAAATCTAACATGGGCATAATATCTAGGCTTATATAGGTCCAATAAACAAAACCAACCAAGTGACATTAAAGTGTCATTAAATTTTGTGATGCTGAAGTGTCATAAAAATCTATGATGATAAAGTGTCATTAAATTTTGTGATGTATTAACGTCACAATGCATAAATGTCGCTATTTTAGACGATGCATTAGTATCATAATTTGCTGACACGAAACGTTCCCGCACCAGTGACACTTTATTTAGTGTCACTAGCCGCCACTTTTCTTGACACATTTTAGTGTCGCAGAACGTTTCTGTAACACTAAATTAGTGTCACTATATATAGGCCCCTTTTCTACTAGTGCACGGTAAAAAAACAAATTAAATTTCCGCTAATAATTAATTGAGATTGAAAAAACAGAACGTGCGTCCGTCCCTACTGACCTCGTCGCAAAAGATTGTTTGAGACCGGAAAAATAAGTCATTCACTAAAACTATTTGGGACCATTTATAATCCAGTCGCTAATGATATCCTTTGAACTATTTATTAGTACCTCTCTCCCATTAAACTTAGCCAAATTTCCTTTTTAGCAATCCAATAAAAATTTGACATTTCCATTTAAAGTAACAAATATTCCGTATGTGGCTAAAGTTTTTTCTCTTTCCTCTACATAAATTTTAACCACACAATTTTTACTTTATTATTCTACGTACAAGTCAACTTTGATGAAATTTAATGGGACGGAGGGAGCTGAGTATGAGTAATTGCAACCACACTTTCCCTTCGCTAAATTAAAGTTCTAGAATCATTAATTAACAATTGTGACAACCTCATTAAAGTATTTGCAAGTTTTTTTCTTCCTCATTATAAATGTACATTTTTTGGTTACTTTTGTGATTAATTGATGAAAACAAAATACTCCTTCCGTCCCTATTTAGAAGTGCCACTTTGTTTTACACACATTTTATGGAAGTTACACTGTTTCACACTGTTTTGTTTACAAAATAAGAAAATAAATCTTTTTTAGGGACGAACCGAAAAGGAAAGTAGGATGTTTATTAAGGGAAGGAGGGAGTATAATATATTCATAAGATTTTTTGCAAAGATCCAAAACATATAATAGAAAACTGAAAACTCTTTGAAATGTAATCATTAACATTTCAATTCAAAACTAATAAATAAGCAATTAAAGTAATCAATCATCAATTTAATATTAAGCATATCAATTGCCTTAGCTACAAAACCAATCTAAAAAGCATAAATACAAAATATGCCATTAATTTTGAACCATGTGACGACAAATCCCTAGCTATTGATTTCAGTCTTTGTTTCCCATCCTTGTTGCATGAAAACTCTCATATCCGTTGCATTAAGAAGAGTTTTCATGCAACGTGGTCTTAAGTTTACTCTTTTTAGAAGACGCCCCTCCCCTTCATGTACATACTCAAGTCCACGTGGAGTCCCTTATGCTATCCGCATCATTGTAGGCCATTCAAGAACAGCCTCCCCGAGTTTACTTTCTGAAATTAATTGTATCTAAAGCTTATAAGATCACTATGCATATGTGCACACACGTACATGTATACTTGAATAATGAAAAGATCAAATAAATATGAGTGGTACTAACGAGGGCTGAACAAATAAACTGGCAATTTGAAACCACATTAACCAAAACCTTAGGCATTAGCTTCCTTGGAGAATTTAAGGGCTAGCGTTATATGAACACATGCAGGCAGGCCTTGTTGTATGGATCCAGTTCCTCTGCCTTGCTTAGACAGGCAAGGAGGGTGCCTGGCCAATTTGAACCATCAGAACAAAAAATCAATGGTCTAAAATTAGTGGGTCCATTCTTGTCACAAATCTCGAGTGCTGAATTTTAATCTCTGCCTTCTATTTTAGTAAGGTACTCTGCCTTATGGCAGAGGATCTCAATCCTTCTTGTATGGGAAGAGTGACACTTGACAAACATCTAGATAGCTATGGTTTACCTGAGTGAGACTTAGAATACTTTCATTTTGATGTGGTATACCTACGTTAAAGACTTACGGAGTATAAATATACTTTCATTTATAACTATTTCAGTCTAGAGTGACATTTAGCGACCTTTCGTTTTGATGTGGTATACCGAGGTTAAAGACTTAGAATACTTTCATTTAGACTTGGTTCAAATTCTGACCAGATCAGATTAAACGAACTCAATTACCTCAGAATTAAATAGATCAGATTGACCATATTAGAACATATTTAGACAATATTAAAATACACTACTACATTTTTATCCGACCATACCGGACTTAAACATCTTGGATTAAGTAGAATTTTCCAGTTCAAATGAAAATAATTTTAATAACACACAGTTCGTCAAATGGAATCATTCGAGATTTTTTAAAAAATTTGGCCGCTTCATAATTGATGCAAGTGAAAAGGTTTATAATATGGATATTTCTACCGTACCTTCAAAAATATTGAGGCACCCGTACCTCACCTGCAATAGCCTAAGAGGCAAATAACAAAAGAGAGTTTACCAATATGAGTGGGCTCCTAAAGTGACTTCCTTGCACCGGTACCTCCTTTATTTTGAAATGTACCGTAGAAGAACCCTATAATGGAATAGGTGTAGCACGATGCTATTTTAAAATAATAAAATCAATTATTAAACGGTGGTTCCAATCAATTTGATACGTAGTACTAGTATATGAGTATGGTAATTAGAGCGGTAGCTCAATTTTTTGGTTTATCGGTCAACTTTTTCACTAAACACGTAATTTTTGATTTCACGCGCTGGATTGCGTAATAATAAGAAAAAGTAAGGTTAAAGTTATTTTTCTGTTTGTATTGACTGAAGTTAGTATAGATGATCATTTTAGCTATATTTACATATAAATTTTTTTATTTTATTAATAAGATACGTAGTATATTTTACATGCAATTTTTTAATAAATAAGGAGAATCAACCAATTCAGTCATTTCAGCTAGAATTTCATAAATTTTAGCAGAATCAGCCGATTCAATCGATTTTGGCATTACCAAATAGGCTCTTAATGTGTCAAATCCGCTCGTTGTCTTTAAGTTCATTAAGTTAAAAACAATAACACCCGATCCCAACTGAGGACTGCACAACCAACTACGCGGATGTAAAGTTGAGCTTTGATTACACATTAATGAAAATAAATGAGGTTTCAATTCAAGTTATTGCTTGGAGTTGAACCCAGGTCTCTCACTTATAACACCCCTTTCTACCCGGGTGCTATACTGCTATGACTATATTAAAATTTCAATTTAGGGCTTCAAAAACTTCAACAGACTTTATGCAGTCTAACAACTTCTTGGCACAAAAAAGAAAACCATTTAAAAAGATGACGTTCGTTTTGATGAATTTGGTAGGCTGATGATGGCAGAATGAATCATGATTGACCCTTTCTTTGGAGACCATTTCATAGAATCATAGTGTAGGTACGATAGATATAAGCTTTCATTTGGTCCAAAAAGGAGGAATCTCTCACTCAAGCCCCCACCCTGACCCGACAGGATGGTTGGAGAGTTAATCACGGTGACTCAGTCAATAAAACGGCGGTAAGTCTTAATTATACACGTGAGCACCAGAGGTCCAACCTTATTTCAGGTTTTGTAACCTCCACACGACCGCTGCGAGTTTCGAACCTTAGTCACTTGATCCAATTTTCCCGCCACTCCACTAACTGAGCTACCCGTGCGGATATATATATAAGTTTTGATGATATATATGCCATAGGTTTGGTACGTGTAAAAAAAAATACCGTAATGGATTTCCACAGATTTGTAATGGCTGTCCTCTTCAAAGTGTTAGTGTCAACAACTCTACAGATTTCACCGTGTCTCTCCGCCATCTTTGTGTTTGGTGATTCGCTGGTGGATGCCGGAAACAACAACTACTTAGTTTCGCTCTCTAGAGCCGATTTTCCTCCTAATGGCATTGACTTTCCGCCCGACGGCAAGCCCACCGGACGGTTCACCAACGGCCGAACCATCGTGGACATCATTGGTATTTTATTGAATTGCATTCTTGTTATTGTCTTTGCAATGGATATCATTATGTTTGGTAGACAGACCAAAGACTGAAAGTCATATAAATTTTGAAATGATGAAGGGTTAATGCAAAGAAATTAAGCATAAACCATTTCCCATTGCAAGAGGAAATTGTCATGGATACGACTAAATTAATGATAAGTAGTTGATAACACACTTTCTCAAATAGAATTAGCATTGTTTATCCTGGAAATATGACTACTTTTATTCCACTTCTGGAGAAAATGACTCACATATTTTGGGATAAAACATTTGTAGTATATGCTTAACTCGTGTTTACTCCTATTTGGAGCAATTTTTAAGAAAAATTCTTAATGTACATGAATTGTACACAAAGTGTACACAAAACCCCCCTAATTGCATGTGTATGTACACAGACAATTGATTTAAAAATGGGTAGGATTTGATGTCAAAACCCCCTAATTGCGTGTGTACACATACAATGTACATATTTTGTGTACATTTTGTGTACACCAAGAATGGCCCATTTCTTTATTTTAACTTATTTGTACATAATAATTTTGTTATGGTAAACACTTACTCATACATAGTATACTAATTTCTCATGCAATTTGATATTGTTGATATAAATATTGACATGCAAAAAGTAAACCTAATTTAAAATGTATCTGACACCTATATTCCATTTGATAACACTGAAATTTGCCTGGATCTAATAAAATTAGTGAAACTCCGGCTCAAATGATTGTGTTGGTTGTATTTGCGGAACTCTGAAAAAATTATAGTTAAAATATATTTTATTAATAATATAAAGAAAATACATACTCCCTATGTCCCACAAAACTTAGGCAATGTTGACTTGTACATAGATTAATAAAGTAAAATTTGTGCGGTTTAAATTTGTGCAGAAGAGAGAGAAATAACTTTAGTCACATATTCCTTACTTTAAATGGAAATTACAAAGTTTTTTGAGACGGTCAAAAAAGAAATTTGGCCAAATTTTATGGGACAGAGGGAATATAAAATATAATCAAAATGATCATCTATAATAACTTGAGCTAGTTCGGCTAGAAAATATTCTGAAATCAAAAGTTTGATAAAATTGATAATATGAAATCATATATGTGTACCAAACGGTTTTTTGCTAATAAATCATGTGGCCCGGGAAAGGGTGACCAAAAGGTCACGAATTCCAAAATTGTTAATAAATAACCTCGTCGGTTGACCATTCCATAAAAAAAGGATGACAACCCATCCTTGAGCGTCCCAACCCCGATTGGACGGTACGTTGGGAGGATATAAATTGCACTATAATCCCAATCTCACAGATAGAGAGTGAGGCTCTATTTCCCGTACTTGCAGAGGCTCTGGCATTTAGCGTAATCACCTATCATCGCAGTTGCCGGGATTCGAACCCGAGACCTAAGCCTTATAGCACCGGTGTATGTTGACCATTCCATGTTGACATTTGTGTTTTACTTGCATAGGTGAAGAACTTGGAGTGGAGTCATTTCCTCCACCATATTTGGCTCCCAACACACAATCTAATGCTGTTTGGAGTGGGCTTAATTTTGCATCCGGTGCTTCCGGTATTTTGGATGAAACAGGAAGTTTATTTGTGAGTATCTATATATGAACATCATAATTTTGAAATTCAGTACTGTACATTTGAAAATTAACTAATAAACAGTATTACCACAACTTTAATGTCTAAAATGTGCATAATATTGTTTTTATGGATCAGATTGGTAGGGTGCCATTGAGGCAGCAAATAAGCAATTTTGAGGAGAGCAGAAGACACATGGTGGAAGTGATGGGAGAAAGAAACACAAGCGAGTTGTTGAAAGAAGCCATTTTCTCTATAACAATTGGGTCCAATGATATCCTCAACTACATCCAACCATTGGACATTCCCTTTCTCCAGGATCACCCTACACTTTCTCCTCCCACATTCCAAGACCTCCTAGTCTCTAACCTGTCCATGCACCTTCAGGTAAACCTTTCAGCTACACCATCCAACGATTTATTAAGAAAAGAGGAGCAAACATTGTTTTTAGTCACATATGGGGTGGGCGTAGCCGGGACACTAGATCGGATTGAGTCGATACAAATAATTATGCTTTTACTCCTCTAAGGATGCTTTTACTTAGACTGAATTTTTTTATCATAAATAATTATACAAAATTTTTACTCCTGTAAGGATGTTTTTATTTACTTCTCTATGGGTCATCCGGAAACAGTCTATGTGCTTTAGTACAGGGGTAAGATTACGTACATCCGAATCCTTTTATCCCACCGTAGGTGGGAGCCTTTACGGCACTGGGGTAATGACGATGATGATTATTATTATGGTCTAGTTTGGTCTGTTCTGATCTAATATGGTTTCGTATGAATTGGTTTGGTCATTTAGATGCTTGATTTTTGTGTAGTTTACAATTGTGAAAGTCTGAATTGGTCTAGTCTAAACTGACCCGGTCTGATCTAGTCTGAATTGGGCTTGAAATAAGTCCAAGTTAAACATCCTAACACCTCACGTAGAATATATATGTGGGTTTAACAAAAAGATCACATCAAGTAGTTCTGATGAGAACTACTGTCCAAACTTGTCTATTTGAGGTGCTTCCAGATGGAATATGTCGATGAACTTCTGTGAGCATGTTCTTCATAAAGAGTAGATTATTTCTCCAAAATTTCAACTTCAAATTCATCTAGAAGTCAATCAAATAAATTATCGAAAAACATTGTTTTTATATACATTTTGGCACAGTGCTTTTTAATAATTTATATAACTGACGTCCCGATTCAATTTTAAGCTGAAATTTTGTGGGTATAATCTATATTTCATCAATAACATACTTACAAAAGATCATCTCAAAGACAGAATTGATGCAATAATTTATATAGTGATTTTTATATAATTTCTTGCTCTTAACCTGACTTTTGCGATTTTAATGTTGGAAAAGTTAATTTCTCAATTGGTGGACGAAAAAATATCATTGTGCAATAGATAAAATCATTTTGGACACCCTATATTTGGTTGCAAAATCCGAGGGCCCACTGAGTCTATGTATTTCAAATTCTATCTATGTTAAATCATGTTACTAGTACTATCTAAAAATTTATGAATGGATAAATTGAAAAACCTAATGCATAAGTTATATATTTTCCTGTGCTTAAAGCGATTACATGGACTGGGAGCACGAAAGTTTGTGGTAGTTGACGTTGGACCTCTTGGATGCATCCCATTTGTACGTGCCATCAAATTTGTGCCCCAACAAAAATGTTCAACGGAAGTCAACGCATTGACTAGGGGATACAATCTTAAACTGAAGGAAGAGCTTGGTCGGTTGAACAGAGATATTGGACCTGAAGCAATCTTCCTCTATGCCAATTCCTATTATGTGGTCAGGCAAATCATTCTGAATTTCCACCACTTTGGATTTGAGAACAGTGATGGCCCTTGCTGTGGAGGGTATGTTCCTCCATTCCTATGCCACTTGGGAAAGAATGAAAGCATAAGCTCAATCATGTGTGAGGAACGAGGAAAGTACGTGTTTTGGGACGCTTATCACCCTTCAGAGGCCACAAATCTCATCTTAGCTCAGAAACTGCTTAATGGTGATAAAACTGTAATTTATCCCATGAATATCGATCAACTTCACAGTTATAAGCTGTAGTTTATGTTCATGATTAGCCACTCAAATAATTTAACTGGTTGTAAGCAAGTTGTTATATATTACTATGGTTGTTGTTGTTGGTATTATTATTACTATCTACTCCGTATTATTAGTAGTGTCTGTATTCGTATTACTATGTATTATATTTGGTAGTACTATCTCTGTCCTAAAAAATACTTCCCAATTTGATTGACAAGCTTATTAAGAAAGTGACAGTAAAATAAAAATGCATGGTTGAGGAAGAGTAAGAAAAAGGTAAATGAAGTGAGTCGTACAAAACTTTCTAAAAAAAGAATAAGATGAGAAGAATTTTTTTCGCCAAGTTAGTGAGAGTTGAGAATTGATTTTCTCACAAGAATATTCTAGTTGCTCTACTACACTTCCGGCACCACCACTCGCGGTGGTCGCCGGGGCCGGAGCCCTCCGGTGGCCTGGTGGCCGTTCTAAGGTGTGAATTTTGGAAATATTCCCACTTAGGTGGGATATTATGGTTCTTGGTTTTATGGATTTCAAATTGTTTTGCATCTTCGGACCTGCTGAATACATAGCCTTCACTGATTGACGGACGTGGAAGGGAAGACTTGGTGACGGAAAGGTGACAGTGGGTGGTCTGGTGTGCAATGGGTATCTTGGAAGGCTTCAGACTGGTTTCGTGGTGATTGGCCGGAGAAGACAATGTTTGTGGTCCAGGGTTATTCAAGGCGAGGATGTATGTTTGAGATGTGGATCTGGAAGTTTTCAACTATGGCGGAGGACTGCTAGAACTTGCCGTTGAGATTCCGAGGGCATATGTACGTTTTGAACCGAAGGGATGATCTCCTGGAAGCACCGCCCAACACTGTTAACCAGCCAACCGAGGGCACTGCGTGTTGAGGGGTGGCACGTACAATGGCGAACATTAGGGTGGCGGTCCGGCGACGATAAAGGGAATTTCTAACCGTAGGTTATAGATGGATGTGTTGTTTGAGGTACTCCAACAATGGAAAGTGGGTTTTTACCGGAGATGATGACCGGAGACTGGCAGAGGCTGGTTCGCTGGTGAGGACAGCAGCTAGGGGTGATGCACGGATTCAAAGCCACCTAGTTTGGTTTCTACTGGTTCGTTGGGTTGAAGTTTGTTCGAAGTCACTGTTTGAAAGTGGTCTAGATTCGCCAGGGAAGATAAATCGACACTGCCGGACGCTACTTATCTTTCGGCTACTATTGAATCGCCACTCCTTTGTCATCTCACCTTTGCCGTCGGGGGTCACCACTCATCGGGGCTCGACGGGGGTGGGTGGTGGAAGGTGGAGCTTGAAATTAGTTGGTTACTTTCCGATTTGGGTTACGACCCTCTTTCTCTGGCCGCTGGACCATCTGGTGGTACCGGCGCCAGGTGGGGTGGTTGGGGGTTAAGTGGGGGGTGGGGGGGTTGACTGCTAGCTGACCAGTGTGCCAACTGGTTGACCTCATTTTGAATTTGAATGGTAAGGGGGGCGTTGAAGCGTAGCGATGGAGGGCTGGGGGCTATTGGGTCGTTTCGCTATTCTCTGTCCGGGTTGTTGTGCGGATGGTCTGCAGGCAGCTGCTACTTCGGGCCCAAATGCAGCACGCAGACTTGGCCTTGTTGATGCATGGATGGAGCAGTCCAAACGAAGTGTGGGTGGAGGAAAGGCTTGGTGGGCTATTGCTGGCTATTTTTAATGGATATTTTGACTTTTTGACTGGATTTGGCTACCTAATGGGCCTTAATTGATTTGGAAGGAGCACCCTATGAGGGGTTTTTGACTCATTAATGGCCTGGTCCTTCATGGACCATTCCATCTTGGTTACTTGATTTTTGTGATACGAGCCACAACATGTCCTGTGCTTTTTGGAATTCTAAAAATTTCTCTTTCTCCTTCCCTCTGATGTGTGTTGGGGGGGGGGAGGGGGGGGGGGAGGGTTACGCTAGATACTATTTGAGGTTAGCTTGCTAGCTTAGATAATTTCCTTTGACTTTTTTGATGCATTGTACTATGTTATTCTCTGGATATATATATTTACATTTTATCCAAAAAAAGAGAAACATTTTTCGGACAATCCAAAATGGTAAATGGAAAGATTTTTTTGGAACGTGAGTATTGTATTCTACATAGAGGTAATAGGTTCATGACTCTCACATGCACCTACTTGTAGCTGTTGTTATAATCCCTTTGTCTCAAACGGAGTTGCAAATTTCACTTTTTTGGGTCAAAAAGTATCATTTATTCACCTAATTAGGATATCAATTCTTAATTAAATTTTAATATTAGTTTTTCAAACTTATAGAGAATTTAAAGTAGTGTGTGAATATGTAAATTTTAATTATTAAAATTTAATTGTCAATGTGAAGAATTTAACTTTAAAATTGAATGATAAAAAATGTTAATTTTGCAAAACAATTTTGGCCATAAGGTATGAATAACAATGCACCACTTGTTATATGAATAACAATGCACCACTTGTTCAGAGTGAGATATTATGAGCCATAATGGTTGTCACATGTTCGTGGTAACCTTTGTGTGTTATCATTAACATTTACTTAACTCTCAAGATGTTTATTGCCTTTTTCAACTTTTTTTATACGAATGTGTCAAAACATAAATGACAAATTGAAAGGTAAGATACTCCCCCCTTCTTTAGTTTATAGAATGGAGTTTATAGAATGGAGAAGACAATGTTTGTGGTCCAGGGTTATTCAAGGCGAGGATGTATGTTTGAGCTGTGGATCTTGAAGTTTTCAACTATGGCGGAGGACTGCTAGAACTTGTTGAGATTCCGAGGGAATATGTACATTTTGAACCTAAGGGATGAGCTCCTGGAAGCACCGGCCAACACTGTTAACTAGCCGGCGGGGGTCACTGCCTGTTGAGGGGTGGCACATACAGCGATGAGGATTGGGGTGGCGGTCTGGCGACGATAAAGGGAATGTCTAACCGGAGGTTAGAGATGGATGTGTCGTTTGAGATACTCCGGCAATGGAAAGTGGGTTTTTGCCGGAGATGATGACCGGAGACTGGAAGAGATCGGTTCGCTGGTGAGGACGGGGTGATGCGCGGGTTCAAAGCTACATAGTTTGGTTTCTACAGGTTCATTGGGCGGAAGTCTGTTCGAAGTCACTATTTGAAAGCGGTACGGATTCGCCGGAGAAGAGAAATCGACACCGCTTGTCGCTACTTATCTTCCTGCTACCGTTGAATCACCATTGCTTTGTCATCTCACCTTTTCCGCGGGGGGTCGCCGGGGCTCGACAGGGGTGGGTGGTGGAAGGTGGAGCTTCGAATCAGCAGGTTACTCTCCGGTTTGGGTTACAACCCTCTTTCTCCAACCGCGAGACCGTCTGCTGGTACCGGCGCCAGGTGGGGGGAGGAGTGGGGGGTTGACCGACAGCTGACCAGTAGGGGTGGGCGTGGTTGGTTAACCGTGTTTTGGTTAACCAACTTTCCGGTTAACCGAGAAACCTATTACTTCGGTTAATCGAGTATCGGTTAACCAAAGCTTCGGTTAACCGAGTATCGGTTAACCAAAACTTCGGTTAACCACAAACCGGTTAACCAAAAACCATCAAACCATTGATTAAATATATACACACACCATTTTCTTTATATATTAATTAAGTCCAAACAAGAGAAAAATAAATTTTGAGAGTGGAATACATGAAAAGATAAAATACACTTGATAAGAATAAACGTGTTCAATTGCTTCAAAAAAAGAATACACATGTTCAAGTCTCACGATTGCAGAATGAGCTAATTAATTATAACTCACAAAAGCTTTGACTAATTATTAATAATATGAAATTAAAAATTCTATAGTGACAAACAGAATTTGATTTCTTCACATGTTTATTAGAATTGATGTATCTAGATGTGTTGGATACATATTTATCTTTCCAAGTTCTCTGAGAACGTGAAGTTCATGACCAGACATGAACATACCGGTTATTGGTTAACCGATAATAACATATTTCTAAAACCGTAACCGTACCGCGAACCGTTTATTCTCACGGTTGGTTAACCGTACCGTGGATTTAAAAATTTGCGGTTCGGTTAACCGGGGAAAACGACGGTTTTCCGGTTTTTAGGCGCGGTTATACGGTTACGGTTTTTATGCCCACCCCTACTGACCAGTGGCCTAGCTTGTTGACCTCATTTTGAATTTGAATGGTAAGGGGCGGCGTTGAAGCGTAGCGATGGAGGGCTGGGGGCTATTGGACTGTTTCCCTATTCTCTGGTGGGGTTGCTGAGCGGATGGGCTGCAGGCAGCTGCTACTTCGGCCCAAATGCAGCACCCAGGCTTGGCCTTGCTGATGCATGGATGGAGCAGTCCAAACAAAGTGTGGGTGGGGGGGAAAGCTTGGTGGGCTATTGCTGGGCTGTTTTTGATGGATATGTTGACTTTTTGACTGGATTTGGCTATCTAACGGGCCTTAATTGGTTTGGATGGAGCACCCTAAGAGGGGTTTTTGACTCGTTAATGGGCTGGCCCTTCATGGGCCACATCTTGGTTATTTGATTTTTGTGATACGAGTCGGGGCATGTCGTGTGCCGTTTGGAGTTCTAAAAATTTCTCTCTCTCCTCTCCCTCTGCAGCGTGTCTCTGTGGGGGGGGGGGGGGGGGGGGTTATGATAGATACTATTTTAGGTTAGCTTACTAGCTTAGATAGTTTCCTTTTGATTTTTTTTGATGCATTGTATTATGCTATTTTCAGGATATATATATTTACATTTTATCCAAAAAAAGAAGAATTTTTTGGGACAATCCAAAATAGTAAGTGGGAAGAATTTTTTGGGATGGACGTAGTATTATATTCTACATGAGAGAGTCATGAACCTACTTGTAGCTATTGTTATCATCTCCTTGTCTCAAAATGAGTTGTAAATTTCACTTTTTTGGGTCAAACTGTTTCATTTATTAACTTAATTAGGGTATCAATTCTTCATTAAATTTTAATATGAATTTTGCAAATTTATGCAGAACTTAATGTAGTGTGTGAATATGTAGATTTTAAATATTAAAATTGAATTAATTGTCAATGTGAAGAATTTAACTTTAAAATTGAATGACAAAAAAATATTATCTTTGCAAAATAATTTGGGATAGAAGGAGTACTACGTATCTATGAATAACAATGCACCACTTGTTC